CGTCTTGCTTTTCTTTCAGCTGTGTTATTGGCCTATAGTTGATATCGGCAGTCACACATCAACGTGATTGATTTGGAGATCTCAAGTCGGGAAATAATTGACGACATTACGAATAGATCAATGTTTATTTTTGAATGGATATGTAATAGTCTTAAGACGCCGCGGAAATGTCCTCTTACAGAACAAGAACATTGTCACTATCTCTTAGCGCTGTGTAGTACTTCTTGTGCGTAGTTTGGTTCTTTCTCTACCTAAGTTCTCATTTTTTTTTGGCTAAGTCCTATCACACTAGCAAAGAAAAAATCAAACTCGATGATCCCTCGTGAAAAATATTAAGGGGCAGCATATAAATGCCAATTTATGCTCTTCGGATCAATTCTTTTGATGGGTGATTGCTGATGGTAGCATTGGGTTGAGAAGTAACTGAGAGAAAGGCAAAGCAAGGGTCTCGGTGGTGCAGTGGGTAACATGTGAGTCCCGGAAACGGTAATCACGGGTTCAGTCTGGCCTGGGGCTCAAGTTTTGCAAATATCTCAGCACCATAGTGGTTGTATTTCACACTGTCGTGAAAATTTACAGTAGACAGTAAATAGAAACTTAACGTTATGATTTCGACTAAAGTCTCAGCTTAACTGGATTCAGTGCCACTTTGTCCTCCCCGGATCAGTCCATCTGACGGGTGATTGCTAATGGTAGCATTAGGTAGAGAAGTAACTGAGAGAAAAGGAAAGCAAGAGCCTTAGTGGTACAATCGGTCGCACGTGAGCGCCGGAAACAGTAATCACGGGTTCGATCTGATCTGGTGTTCAAGTTTTTGCAAATATCTCAGCATCATAGTGGCTGTGTTTCACATCATACCGTGCCGTGAATAATAATAATATGCAGTAAATAAAAAGTTAAACTAAATGAATTATGAGTTGTTGATCTATGTCATTGTGGTAATTCTTTGTTTTTGTCTGGATCAGATTCTTGCCATTTACGACGAGCAGTCGCCAAACGGCAGCGATGCGGTAGACACAAACACCCATCGTGGTCCGGTTGTGGGCCGAGTTCGTGACAGTGTCGTCGAAATCGTCAGTCTCGAAAATCCACCAAGTGGGTAGAGCTGTTTTCCTAAGCTTTTTAAAAATGTTTTTAAGTTTCTCTGAGGATTATAGCGAATACTCTTCTATTTTTTTGAAGTTTTTGTTTTTTTTTAGATTTTGTCTTGTTTTCCTCTGAACTGTAAGTCAAATTGTCACGCATGTTGTTCCATTTTAAACCGTGACCGTCTCTGGTTCTTAAGCCTTGTCCCATACGTTGCTTCAGGGGGGTTGCTCATAACTCCGTTATGCTACATTTGTAACCTTCTACCTTTTTGGTAAAAGGATAAAGATTAAAGCTGTCGGCGTTGTTCATTCCCTGAGGGATGCGCTTTGCATTCGACTTCAATAAGCATCGTTGGAGGTGACTGAGTTCATATCTGGCCTTTACTCGTGATGGCCCACCGATGTGTCGAGCCAGTGCTGCAATCCTCCCAGACAAGTGTGGTGCCGATTTCCCGACCCTAGAGGGATGGAGGGCTCGGTGAGTCTGGAGCGCGGGGATCGATCCCATGTGTATTGCAGAGTGCCTCCGACCACTATGCCACACGCACAAAACGCAGTACGGTGTCGTAAATTGGGTGTTGTTCTGGTTTTCAGCTAGACATTTTTTTCCGATTTCAATACGTTGGTTTTTGTTGTTAGCAGCGTTAACAATACTAATTCATCAGTCCTTATTAGGAAAATTGCAGTCTTTTTTATCCTTCATCCAGTTCTATTGTTCCCGCCTCTAACCGTTTACTGGTTTTACCTTTATACTTACCTGTACTTGTACCCATAAGTACTTCTAAGGAACTTAGCTATGATTGTTATGACTATAGCACATTCCTTTTAGCCAAATATAAAAACTAATTTCGGGAATGTGGGTTCAAATGTGCGTTCTTTTCTTCTCATTTCTCATTTTGGCGTTGTAGGCAACGGATTGCGTGTTTCATCGTCGGTGACGGAGAACCGGACCACAGAAAACGTAACATCGTTCGCTGTTGTTGGTCAAAAGCAGCGCCTGGATTATCCGGTGAGATCGTCGTTACGCTCCGATACATCGACACCATCGCGACACAGGGTTACGTTAAGCCCTGGTGAGTACCACAGTTCCACATAAAAACATTATTCCATCGGAAAATGTCCTATGAATCAGAATTTTTTTTTTGGTTTTTCGTCGTACTCGATGGTTATTTTGTAAGTAACAAGTCCTTATAATGATTAAATTATTAGATGGCTATGTTGAATGGGGAGGTATGTTTGGGTAGTGGCTAGAGGGGCCGTGAAACACACATGCGTTCGTAGGTTCGATCATGCGGCCTGGGATAACCAAACGCTTTTTCCCATCAGGGTCGGAAAATTGGTAGTAGACGTATCTGGAAATATGAAGAAACAGTAATTTAGTACATTAGTAGGCCCCGCAAGTCACTGTATAGACGAAATACGCGCGTTCATTCACGTGTGAGGATGCTCAGTAATATCGGATTCATAGCGCATCCCTAAGGAGTCAACACGGAAGGCTCTATGCTTTATACTTCTGCTGAATAGGTTGAATTTATTGTCGGTGCATGTATACGTGAGAGCAAGAAAGAGAGAGAGAGGAAGAGAGAAAGGGTGAACATGCTTCGCGAAACTCGGGTATTTCATCTAGAAGTTATGTAGACCAATCCCGAAGGAATCTTGGCTCGCGGTGGCCTTCTGTTGTGTTGAGCCAGTGCTGCTAGTTACCCATACAAGTCTGGTGTCGATTTGTCGACCCCAGAGAGACAAAGGGCTTGGTGAGCCTGGGGTACGGGGATCGATCCTATGTGTATTGCAGGGTGCCTCCGACAACTGCGCTATACGCACTACATAGTTATACGTACTTATTTAAAATCATAGTGACATGTAGCGCAATAACGTTGAGCTGTACGTGCATAGCCGTAAGTCGGACACCTCACCAGGTGAATAAATTTCGCCATTGTTCTCGTGGTCGATGGTCTGTCTTATTGACCAGCGGACTCTTCTTTAAAGAATAGGGCAGTATTACATGTTCCTATTCTTGTCAGCTCTTCCTTATTAACTGATAAGAGTTTGTTAAATCGTTCTGTGATCCTTAATGGCTAACACTTTTGCGACTCTGCGACTTGTTCAGAGTCGTTCTCGTTTTCTAAGAACTGAGACCAACTGTATGTTGTTGGGATAGGACGGTAAGTCGAATTTCGAATTGAACAGTGATGTTACCATTTGGGTAATGAAAGACGCTTCTTGAAATGCAGTTTTATGAATCTGTTTTCGTGGGCTTGAACAAGTTACAATGTGTGTATTGCATGGTATCTCTACCCACGTAGGTGCGCATAGCGCAGTGGTCGGAGGCGCCCTGCAACACGGGATCGACCCCCGCGCCAGTGACCCACCAAGCTTCCTGTCCCTCCGGGGTCAGCGAATTAGTACCAGACTAGTCTGGCAGGATAAGGATAACAACACTGACTCGATACATCGTTTGACCATCCTGAGTATAGGACAGATGTGCATTCGGTCACCCTAATGATGCTTAAGAAAGTCGAATGCATGGCGCATCGATCAGAGTTGATTAACACCGAAAGCTTTTAGCTTTTGTCTTTATGGGGTTGGCGAACGCTGTGAACTTTCTCATACGATAAGTGAATCAGTGTTGTTATCTCGCCAGTCTCAACGACCGCGTTCTTCTTCGGCTAACGTCATTTTAGAGTGAATTTTTGATAGAAAAAGCAACATCCACTAGATATCCTTTTTTTTCTCGAATTTCTTTGGCATCTAAGTTCATTATTAATGCCAATTAAGTTTCCACTTTCAGAAGTCGAGAAAAAACTGGCGTCCTCAGAGAATTACACGGGGTTGAGCCGTAGTTCGGCGAGAAAATCTCGCCTAACAGATACCTTTTACGATGCTAAGGTGAGCCAGTTCTCATCTATGCATCTTTTCAGTTGCTTCAGATTATCCGGAGTGTTAGTTTTGCATTTTGCCAGGCCATGTTGCTGTGGCTTGTGTACCGTCATTGTTTACATTGGCGCGCCCCTAATGTTAGTTGTTCATTTGTTAAGGAACGACTGGAAGATGCTCGACAAGCAAATCGTGCCTCGCCCATGTCGACCCACCCATCGCGACCTCGAGCGTATCTGAAACCAGCTTTGGATCCTGAAAACACTGTTTTGGTGTTTTCGGATGAAAATCTGACCCCGATGGGAATAGAGGTGAACTGATCTGTCAGGGTTTTCGAGAAAAAAAGAACACTTTAAATCTTACTGTTATTGTAACTCCTCGCTGTTTTTTCCAGTTTAATGTTTTCACTGCATTTTGAATAGGAAATTTTAAACTCTACGCTTCATTTGTGCTTATACGCCACTTACTGACTACTTAAAAACGTTTCTTCTCTCTTATTTGTTTATTTATCCAGGGAATATTGCTGTCGCTATGCACATTCGGCCTCTTTAATAAGTTATTTCAAAATTTTATAACAATTCACCTTCCATTTCTTTAAACCTCCATTTGTTTATCGCCTTATCGTGGATGGTAGGTGTTCCTGAGTGTGGTGCTGCGATGTAGAGCGGGGGGATTCATCCTCCTCTCCCGCCCTCACAGGGTCTCGCAAGCTGTAAAGAAGTCCGGCGTTTCCATCAGAAAACCCAGCTATGAGTAAACCAATACCAAGATCCACCAGCGTCCTGGTATCAAACTAGTCGGTTGGCGGCAAATCTCTGATACACAAGGGTGGCGACTGCGTGTGATGGTGACGACGTGCGGCAGACTTTGGCCTGGTTGACCTAAGAACTCTACGGAACCACAACGGCGAAACCAGAAAAATTTCGAAGCGTTGGAAATTATAGTGTGGCTGGCAGAACCAGTTGAGGATGGGCCATCAGAGTAAGTATCCCTTTAAAAGAGGATGGGCGTATAAAGAACTGTACCGAGAAAAAAATGAATATTATGAACATTATGCTTCCATGTGAATTTTATGCGGTTGATCTTCACGCGACATACTCATTGGGAGCCTCATAGAAAGCGGCTCTGAGGAAATCCGCCGAAACTTCAGCTTATTCGTGAATAAAGAATAAAAATAACACTTCGTGTTTGCTGAACATGAATACGATGAATAGTATGAGTACTGTATAAGTTTACTCGGGCTTAATAGTAATCAATCGGCTAGTATCAAAACCGTTAGGTTTTTAGGTTACCGGTGTACATGAGGATCTATCTGCGTCCAATAATGGACGTCTCTTTGCGGTTCAAATACTACGAATTGAACCTGATGGTAGAGTTGGAATGGACGGACGTCTGAAAGTTGGCGACAACATTGTTGAAATCGACTCGCGACCGGTTTATCAAGTATGTTTTTCGTTTCCAAATTAAGGTAACCACATAGTGGATATGAATAAAGGGTGGATTGAAAAGGTAGAATCGTGAAAGAACAAAATAAGGAGAGGATGTAGGAAGGGGGTCGTGAAAACTTCGAATTACTCGGTTTGTACTTCGAAATCATGGGAAAATATGCCCTCATAACTGTTCCAGTCATCACGTTTGAGGCCCAGATTCTCTAAGAACAAGTTCTGATGTTGATATGCTCAAAATTTTGAAAAGTTGGTCATATCCCTCAATTTTTATATTAAAGACAATACATTTTAACATCTTACTATCGAAACAAATTGAGCGTGTCTCGCAGTGGTCGGAAGCGCCCTGCAATGCGCATGGGATCGATTCCGCGCCCATGGCTCACTAAGCCCTACATCCCTCCAAGGTCGACAAGTTGGTACCAGACTTGTCTCGGAGGATAGTAGCATTGGCTCGATATATCGGTAGGTACGTCAGGGCGAGGAAGTCGAATGCATGGCGCATCCCTCAGGGATTGACCAATGCAGAGAGCTTAATCCTTTTTAGTTTTATTATCGAAATATTATCGAAAATTGTCATCGAAACAAGTGCAGTGACATATCCGTGATTAAGGACTCTTTATTGTACAAGAGTTAGTGAATGGCTCTCCATAGGATTAATAATCGGGTATTTCTGTTTTTATGATACAGTTAACAGTAGTCCTAAGAGGCTAGTTCACAGTTTATTTGTTGTGAATCTATGAATGTTTAGCAGTTCTGATAAATGAAGAGTACTAGGGACTTCGTTCTGTTTTTAGATGTCAGTGGTTCGTGCTCGAGCGTATCTTAGCGAACTACAGTCTCGCACAGAGCCATCACTGACCGTCGCTCGTCCGCCCTCGTCGTTCTGCGAGGTCAACGATGTGTTATTGGGGAGCCATCCATCTACTTCTTCACTTCATAGCCGACCCATTCTATCAGCTCTACAACAGGCGAACACTCAACACATCGGTCATACGAAAATCGTCAGTTTGAAAAAGAGTGAGTTTATTTTTTTTCATCAATTGGTTTCTTTATTTTTGTCCAGAAATGTTGACGGAAATGTGCTTTTTTCGTGTAAGGTAAAAAGCTCTCGGCGTTGATCAGTCCCTGAGGATGGGCCATACATTCGACTTCACTAAGCATCGCTTGGAGGTGACTATATGCATATCTGGCCTTTACAATGACTCATGATGTATCAAGCCAGTGCTGCTACCTCCCACACATACTCTAGACAAGTCTGGTAGCAATTTGCCGACCACGGAGAGAAGGAGGGCTTGGTGGGCATAGGTGCGGGGATCGACCTCATGTGTATTGCAGGCCGCCTCCGACCACCGCTAAGCGCGCCCAATTTTCAATATAAATAGATAAAATAGAAGAGGTTGTTGGAGAAACAGTTTCATTTTTCAAGCGTCAAGTTCCAATCCACTTATATCAGATTGTGGCAGATTTTGAAAATCGGTAGAATCTACCGATCTTTACCAATTGGAAATAAGCTTTTTCAAGATGATATAAGTCCAGGCTTTTAGAGCCCACACATCTTCTGAAGATATTTCGGCAATGACTTTGTTGTGGAGAATTTTCTCATTAATTAGTTTTCCACTAGCCAGAGGAAATGAGACTATTTTCCTAAGAACTAAAAGAAGCAGGGTGAGGTAGATTTTCACGTCCCAATTCTTTCTAGTTTTACACTGTTAGTTGCACATCATGTGGTGGGGCCATTGTTACTTTTGGTTTAGAGCCAGTCGCAGGTGTTGTAGTCCTTGGTGCATTTCATCGGTTTGGTGACAGTGCCTCTTAGCTGCAATGATTTCTCCACGATTCGAGAAGAATTGTGGTTTATGGTTCCATTAGTCAAGCGTGATGAATTCCTCAGAACACTTCGTGATTATGCAAAATTGGCTTCAAGAAGCAACCAATGTTGGGTGGTGGGCAGCCATGCAAGGAAGGAGGGTTTCGAAAGTGTTTCACTACACTGTCATGTACATGTAAAAGCCAAACTTATTAAGTGTTAAGGGTATATAAGATTCTTCCCACCTTTGTCCATTTCCTCCCAACGGTTTACCGCCTGATCGGTACTGGAAAGTGTTCCTGGATGTCGAGCTGCAATGCGCAGCCTGGGATCCATCTCCACAGCAGGGTCTCCCAAATTGGGAAAGAATTCGACGTTTCCATCAGTAAGCCCAGCTAAGAGTGAACCAATACCAGAATCTACCACCGTCCTGGTATTAAAGTCGCACAGTGGCAAATCTCCCTCTGATTTGCCATAAAGGCTGCGACCAACTGTGGTGGTAAAGATCTGGGGCAGGCTTTGACCAGACTAACCTCGGGAACTCTAAGGAACCACAATAGCTCAATCAGGAAAACTACGGAAAAATGGAAATTATGCTGGTGCACGCACAGCCAGTGAAGATGGGCCTTCCAAGTGTCCAAGTTTTCCACTTAAACGTCTTTGTTTGTGTTATAGTGATAGTGCGATTCGAACAACTGTTGTCTCTCCGCTGAGCACATTATTCTTATGAGCAATACAGCAACTTTTTAACCGTATATCTGTGTTGGAAAATGAGCATTTCGAATGGTCTACTTTTGAAATCAGGAGTGAATGGAGGTAGCATGAACATTGAAGAAGTAATAGAGAATTCAAAAACTCGTGAACCTTTGATAGTATTGAACTCCGTGCACATAGTTTGTATTAATGACAGCGATGAGGCACCACTGATTTGCATCTGGGTTTTACTCGATTTCGTGTATGTAGACGAAAGATGTGGAGAGCATGTAGCGCCAGAGGCGCCCTACAACACAGGATCGATCCCCATGTCCTAGGTCCACCAAGTCTTCCATCACTCCGGCGTCGGCAAATTGGTACCAGACTTATTTTGGAGGGCACCAGCACTGGCTCGATACATCGCTTGGCCACTGCGAGTCGCTGTAAAGGCAGATATGTATTAAATCACTTTCAACGATGGCTAATGAACTCGAATCCTTGGCGCATCTCTCAGGTATTGATCAACGACGAGAGCTTTATACTTTTTTGTCCTTTCAACTGAAAGACTACCGAATTAAGATCAGACGTCTTTAACATCCTATTAGAAAAATATGACGCTGTTTGTGTTCATCGAGTGAGCAGAATTCGTTGAGCCACTATTTTACGGGGCAAAGTTGGCTGGAAACACTGTTTGATCTAGCTCAAATCACTCGACGGTCAACTGATGGGTATACGGCAAGGGCTATCTACGTAGGGCACCTGCATATTTTGCCATTGACTCAAACAATACTCGAATGTGTTGGAAGATCGACTCTAAGAGCTGTTGGTTTAATGGTTTAGCTATTTCCATCCGCGGAAGTTCTACATGCGAACTTTTCGAAATGGCAACGATTTCAACTATGCTTGAAAAAATTCAGTATTGTTTACGTATTGATGGCCAACCATCTATAACTCTGTGGGATATGTTTGACTTGGTTTATTTAAGGAAACGTGGCATAGTTACTGCAATAAGCTGACGCGAGGTTGGTACAGATCTTCGTTGTCGTTGTCGTTGTCGTTGTTTTTGATGTTATTGATCGATGGCTGACGTTTCGGCGACTTCGCCTTCCTCAGAGCCTGGACGTACTTTATGTTAGAATACTTTTTATTATTCGGTGGAAAAGAAGGTTAAGGTATTAATGAAGATCAAACTTTCAAATAGACGCCATATTGAACAGAAAGGCCACTCACCGTGATGTTACGTGCGGGACTGGCCCACACGTAGTTCACGTGGAGTCGCGAGCAAGACACGCCCCGGGGTCAAAATATCATTTTGAAATAGGGCGCCAGGTCACGTGTGATAGTGAGGCATTCGTCCTTCCGGTTCATCTTTGGATTTTTGAAATTTATCCAAAACGCCTCTAGAGTTTTGCGCGTTGATGTTTTTGATTCCTGCGCCACTTCAAAATCATCGCCGTTGTGCTTTTGTGCCCTATGCGTACCTAGAGGGGTGTTTAAACGGATTTTAGCTTTCCCATCTAGATGTTCTTTTATGCGGACACAAAGTGGTCTACCCGTTTCCCCGATATATTCCTCGCCGCATGCATTACATGAGATCAAGTATATTATACCTAAACTCATGCAATCCCCGTCTCTCCCGTTAGGACAGATCATACAGTTTTCTGAGCTGCACAAACGATCATAGAGACGGTTTCGAACTAACTGGCGGCGTAGGGTATTGGGTGGGATGTCAACAATCGTTACATAATTGTCTTCTTGTCACCTCTATGTTCGTTCTCTCTGTTCCATAACTCTAAAATCATTTTGAATCTTTTTAAAGGTAAAATTATACACATTACTGCAGATATTACTGAAGCCGTGTGAAGTTTAGGGCAAATCTAAAGTTTAGTACCTTTAAGACATCCGCCCATGGCATTTCGACTCCACCGCTGATTTGGGCTCCCCAGATTAATCCCGTTGACCGGTGATTGCTGGTGGCAAAAGATCGATAGAGCTAGCCGAGCGCTTTACTCCCCAGAAAGGACGATAACGCGTTCGTTCCCCACCGCAGACACCTGCGGTTCGGAGTTATGCAAATATCTCAGCATTATAGAAGTTATATGTCAGCACGATTGTTGTTGAAACAGTGATAATTCGATGTTTTTCTTCAGTAAGCAGACACGAGGTTGTTATTATAGAATCTATTAGGATACGACGTTTCGGCGGTTTCGCCTTCTTCAGAGCTGTTTATTTTCGTTTAATACGGAGACTAACAGAAAGTCGGTCTTGGAAACAGTGATTATTTTTGATTTTTAAATATTTAATTAACCAATTAATTAGACAGCGGGACACTTGAAATATATTTTTAAGCTTATTTAATGGACATTAGCTGAATGAAAAATGCATATTACTTTATTTTTAAGCTAATTTGAAGTCGTTGGTGATAGTATAGGATATCTGATGAGAAAGAAAAGCACAAACTTACGTTGGAGTTTCCAAAATTGTCTTTTTTAGCATCGACTGGTTTCGGGTTTACTGTAACTGGAAGAGAGACCGCTAAGGGTGAACGATTGTTCTACATCGGAACGGTGAAGCCGAATGGAGTCGCCTTGGGGCATTTACGCGCTGGAGATAGATTGCTTGAGGTGATTACCCCTATTTTTACCTATACTGTCATGTTGTGGAAGTTGAGCTTCACTTCAAGAGTCATCACAATGCGTTACCAAGCAGTGCACGGTAATGCGTAACATCGTAACTGACCTTGAGAACTATCACTTTTAGTCGATAACGTTCACTGTTCGAAAATTTCTCCAAAATTTTGCGTAATTCTGAAGTAGTTTGTGTGCTTGGTTAGGAAAAGGATCGAGAACATATTCATCAGGAACTTCTTTAATTAGAGAATTTGTTCTAGTTGAATGGCGAACCAACGGCGGACTTGACGCAAGCCGAAGTCGTGGATCGATTGAAAAGAGCAGACGTTGGGGAAATTGTATCTTTTTTGGTATCACGAGTCATTGAAGGGGATAACGAGAAGAAGAGCGGTGGTAATGATGTAGGAAATCAGCCTCAAATTCCAGCTTCGTTAACGAAGAGAGAGAATGACGAGAAGGTATGTTATGGTTATTTTGAAGAGAGCTATGGTTTTATCCAATGTTTATGTTTCAGGTCGAACCATCGACCTCTTCTGAGACGTCCCAATCGAACTCACAAATGGAAGAATTGGAACTTGTGATTCCTCTCAACGATACGGGTAGTGCCGGTTTAGGAGTGAGTCTAAAGGCTCGTGTCACGGTTCGCAGTAATGGTACACGACAGGACTGTGGAATATTCATCAAAAACGTCGGTTTTTTTCGATTTGGGAACTTATTCGTAGTGTTTCCGGATTTTCCTTTCATAATTTCATATTTGAAATAGTTTCTGCATATGAATTAATAGACAAATGCCAACCATAGGAAAATAATGGAGGAAAACGTGACCAAATATGTAGCTCATAGGTTCTCCTTGTACTGCAAGAGCATGGAACTTCCGTAATTAGGCGACTTTTCTTTTTCTTAGACGCCTGGCTCTCATTTTATAAACGGGATTAATCTATTTTAAAAGGGAAGGAATATCTATGGTTGAGCTCCTCTAGGTTAGATAGAAGGCGCTCATTTTGAAATATTTCTTTCCAACTTAGTCCGTTTTAAGGTTCTGCACGGAGGAGCAGCACACAAAGACGGTCGCCTCAAAGTCAATGACAGAATAGTAGGTATTGAGGAGCTACGACTGGATGGCGAGACGAATGCCACTGCAAGTGAAGCGGTTTCTCGACGCCTCAAGGCGATTGGGCCGACAGCGAAGCATGTGCGGTAAGCTTAATTTCATTAGAAATGGAATTTCAGTAAAAGCGTTTACCTTGCATTCTTGTTACAAAAGGGTAAAGCTTTCGGCGTTGTTCAATTCCCCTGGCACGCACCATGCATTCGACTTTATTAAGTATCGTTGGAAGTGATGGAATGAATATCTGGTCTTTACAATGACTCGCGACGGTCTACCGATATATCGAACCAATGCTGCTATCCTCCCAGACAAGTCTGGCATGAATTTGCCGGCCCCGGAGAGATGGAGGACTTGCTGAGCGTGGGTTGCGGGGATCAATCCCATTTGTATTGCAGGGTACCTCCGAGCACTGCGCTACACGCTCATTCTAATTGTACTGCTCACTGTTTTATGGTGTAAATGCTGTATTTTTCTTTAAGCTACCGTTGAATAATGGCAAAGCATTCTTAGAGGCTAAAGTAGCCATTAACACACCTAAGGACATTAGCAAGGCATGACTGTAATGTTATTTTATGTGGATAGAATTTCGTGCTCAGGCTTTTAATTCATCGAGCCAAGACATCTGATGGAAATGGAACTGGACAAAGCACGTCTTCAGTTGACGAATCGAATGTGATCGAGTCACGTAACGGCGAATTGATATCGTCCGATGAAAAACAGTCACCCATTGAAAGCATAGATCCTGATTATGGAAGGTGGGTTTCAATAGAAAAGTTAAAATTTAGGCTTAGTGATTAAATTCATCGTTATTTTTCCTGCAACATTCTAAGCTACAAGTGATTCTTCTCCTATGTAATGAAATACCAACTTTGATATATGAACATAGTTTTTAAAATTTTTAAAATTGGAGAATTGACTTTTTAATCCATCAATCTCGGATTTCACATCCATGGCTGATCTGTTTCTGCAGACTCAAGCAGAATTTTCATTCTTTTGAAGTTTTGCTGGTTTAGCCACTACGGTTGCCCGAAGTATCGAGATTAGCCTAGCCAAGGTCTGTCCCAGGTCGTCACCACCGTAGACAGTCGCCTCCCTTGTGAATTAAAGGGCTCAACTAGGTTACCTCTATCATTTTGATATACCATACAAATCCGTAGTGGCACTTTCACATTATAATATGAAAAAAAGAACCACAACACCTAAACCAGCAAAACTCCAAAAAAATGGACATTGTACTGGGGTCCGCACGACCAATGAAGACGGGCCCTTCAAGTAACCAAGTAAGTGGCACGTAAGCATTTTTACAGAGTTTAGGCATGGATTTGCTTTTTTATATCATAATACGAAAGTGCCACCACGGATTTGTTTGGTATATGAAAATGATAGAGGTAACCTAGTTGAGCCCTCTAATTCACAAGGGATGCGACTGTCTACGGTGGTAACGACCTGGGACAGACCTTGGCTAGGCTGATCTCGATACTCCAGGCAACCATAGTGGCTAAACCAGCAAAACTTCTAAAGAATGAAAATTCTGCTTGAGTCTGCAGAAACACTGAAGTCGGATCATCCAAGTATCGAAGTAGTAACCATGTTGATTCGTTGCTATAAAGTTTTCTTCATTGTTCTACTTCTCATTCACAAATTTTTCATTGCTCTGTTTGCTCACGTGATACCACTTGTAGGTTGGATGAGTCAGATTTGGCGAATGCCACTGGTGTATTCAATCGTGAAGCCCCGTCACGGAAAAGTATGAGCGAAAAACGCGGCATGGGTGCGTCTATTGACCCACATCACATCAAAATCTTCCAAGATATCAAACATCAACGAGAAACAAGTGGTGAGTAATGAGGACGGTTTTCGAACTATTATCCATCTGTTTATGGGACTTAAGTAGCACAGAATACTATGCTTTTGTTCCTTGTTTTCATCCTTCTTGCAGTGACTCAAAAATCTAGGTCATATTTTCTTTCTTAATCGTTCTTCGATAATTGCAGTGTGTTCTTTCTGCACCCTTGCGTCATACTTCAATCGCTGTTCAAAAATTTTCAGTCTGGCAACGAAAAAGCAAATCCATGCCTAAACTCTCTAAAAGTGCTTACGTGCCACTTACTTGGTTACTTGGAGGGCCCGTCTTCATTGGTCGTGCGGACCCCAGCACAATGTCCATTTTTTTGGAGTTTTGCTGGTTTAGGTGTTGTGGTTCTTTGGAGTTTCTAGGTCAGGCTAGCCAAAGTCTTCTCCAGGTTGTCACCATCACAGGCATGCCGCCGCCATTGTAGATCAGAGGGAGATATGCCACCATGCGACTGGTTTGATATCAGGACGCTGGTGGATCCTGGTATTGATCTACTCTCACTTGGGCTTCCTAATGGAATACCCGGACTTCCTTCTCAGCTTGGGAGAACTTGCTGGGAGGATGAATCCCCGCTGTACATCGCAGCTCGACACCCGGGAACACATCCACGATAAGGCAGTAAACCGTTGGGAGAACATGTTACTACATTATTGTCGTGATTACCATTTGTTTATATCGTTAGTTATGTATTAGTATTGATGTTGTTATTTCTGAATAATGGGACACATTTGCGTGCTATATTGTATTTTTCTCGGCCAGGTATGACATCATCCAAGTAAAACAGTAGTGCTTTTACGAAAGTGTCCTTCCCACTTTGACGTGTTTTTGAGCCTTCTCTAGTCCCACAGGCCCACCGCCTATGAAGTCAATGCCTGCTCGAAAGTTACCAATTCAGTGTTGCCATATATGCCAGTGACAAGGTTGTCAGTTAAGAGGAATCCACTTAGTTACTGCTCATGAAGTGAAGTCTTCAGCTGTATCCCTTGGAATGAGTATTGTCAACAAATGTTCACCCACTAGTATCCAATTTCACAGTGACTTTCTAGGCTCAATAGATTCAAACATTAATGTTCAGTGTTCTCGAGCTTGCTTACGCTTTCTTTCCTTTTTTCCCCGTGTTTCTGTCACCTATCGCCATCGCTTCCAGCTCCGAACACATCGATGAGCACATCGCTTTCTTTTCATGGGCAATCCACTGCTAGGTCAGCTTCCCAAAGGGCAGCGGCTCGTGCCCGAAGCCACTCCGTACATCCTCGCGCTCCAACTCCCGCTCCACCGAAGATCATGAAGATGTCCGCAACCCCGCCGGTGTCAATCCCGCCAGTGTCAGTCCCGCTCAGTCTCGGTAAGTGCTGCTTCTCAGTTCAGTCTCAGTTTATACCGCCTAACCCTTTCGTCTATGCTTTCACTTTTTGATTTCTGCAATATCTATCAGAAATTTAGTGCTTCCGAAGGCTTTGTTGAGTTGAACATAACATGCTCACTTTTTTTTTACATAATAGAAGAGGTGATGGCTGTTCTGTTTCACTATCGTTGGGGGAGGAGGGTTTTTGTTCAGATGTTCCTTGAAATGTTTGTTATCGCAGCATTCGTTCTTTTTGATTTCACAGTATACTAAGGTTGATAACCTAATTTTATACAAGCTGAACTTCCTATAGTAGTAGGATCATTTTCTCTCAGTGTCTTTTTGTTTAGCTGCGTCAAATCCTGAAAAACGTCGTTCGTTAAGCGTGGAGAGCATACATCAAGGCAGTCAAAAAACTGCTTCGAAGAAACATTCGGCTATGGTAATTCGGTTATTTTCAATTTATTCTTTGACTAGGAACAAGTTTAATCGATAGTCGTGTGTCAATCATAGAACTCACTCAACTATTAACGTCGCCTATGTCCAGCTTTATTAGTTTCTTTGAAATGTACTCCCGAAGTTTTCATAAGATGATTAATCATCAATGAGGATAAAGGATAGAGGGCAAAGGTCTAGGCTTTGATCAATCCCTGAGGGATGCGCCATGCATACGACTTCATTAAGCATCTTTGGAGGTTGTTGAACGCATATCTGGCCTAAACAAAGACTCGCCGTGGCCTACCGATGCATCCAGTCAGTGCTGCTATCCTCTCAGACAAGTCTGGTGCCAATTTGCCAAGAGGGATGAAGGGCTTGGTGGGCCAGGAGCAGGGGAATCGATTCCATGTGTATTGCAGGGCGCCTGTGACCATTGCGCTACACACGTCCATTATTCATCCATAATGAATATTATTTGATATCAGTAGACGGCACTGTTCATTTGTACCGAACTTGGAAATAGTTTTTCAGTGTGATAGATCTTATAATAGAAACTGTCATAAACCCAATGTTATCTTCAGCCATATCGTGGTGCCTTTACTTCAGACAGTTTTCGGCAGGCAACTGACTTCTATGGTAATGCCGTTTGTGGTGAGTTTTTCTTCTCTTCTACAATGGCTATCTCAAAGTTCGAACTGTATTAGCTCTACCAGAATCACAAGTTGTACTGAAACAACGTTCAACAAGTCGCGACAAGGATAAACAACGACGTAAAAGTTTAGGAGGGTACGTGGTGAAGAGTCATTTCGGAGTTTTTGTTCATAAGAGGAGTTGAGAAGATTTCAGACTAACAGCAATGAAATCGCTTCTCGGTTTCGGCGGAAAGAGCCGTAACGAGAATTGCTATTCTTCACAGAGAACCGACACGAAAACAGAAGAAGCGATACGCTCGAAAAACGAGGATGAGAGGAAAAAGTAAAGCATTTGTTTTATTGCGTTATAATTTAGTAGAGTTCAAAAATTTGTCATTATGAAGTTTTAGCTGATTTCGTGCTCTTAAGGACGTAAGAGATTTTTATGTGGTGCTCACATTTCAAGGTTTTTCTCTAGTTTTCATGTTTTGGACGATGTTTTTAATAGCAGGGCATGTTGGGAAATATAACTTCTATAATGCTCAGATATTTGCAAAACTCGGGGCCGCAGGTGCCTGCGGTGGGGAACGAGCATGCTAGTATCCTTTCTGGGGAGTAACGCGTTCACCACCACACCATGCGGGTACTTCGTTTCGCCTGTCTCTCAGCTAGTTCTCCCGATGGCTTGCCATTTCTTGCCAGTTCCCGAGCATTGAACTATAGCTTCAGCTTAACTGGGGGTCATTGCCTGTTTGGGCTCCCCAGATCAATCTCGCTGATGGGTGATTGATGATGGCAAAAGATCGATAGAACTAGCTGAGAGACAGGCAAAACGAAAGACCCGCATGGTGTGGTGGTGAACGCGTTACTTGTAACGAAATAGTTAGCGGCGAAGTGGAGCGGTTCAGATTGGTGTAGAATATTAGCCACGCTGTTCTTTTAGTTGTTGTATTGATCTACCAGCCTCATACCTGGGTAATCAAACCTTTAATACATAAATACAACATTAATAACGTAATGGTAACGATAGAAAGGTAATGGTAGAGGAATGACGCGAGTTAAAGCTCTGAGGTGCTAAGGCTTGTAGTGAAGTGAGGCTAACAATGAGGCAATGGCATTCAAACATTATTATACCATTAATACAATATTAACAATAATAATGAGATTACAACGAAGTAGCCTTTGCTTAGCCGTAAGCGATGCCGCGCCGCGTCTATTCGCGGCCGGCGCGGCGGCTGAGGGAGACGGTATGCTGAGGTGGTGAGGGTTACAGACTAGCCGTGTTTCGGCCAAGCTAAGATTTCAACATTATAGCGATGAGGAGCATTTCAGTGGATTGATGAGGACTGTAAGTTACATGAGCGTTGATGGGCAGTGAATGATGAGTCATACGGAACACCGTCAGGCGGCTGGTCGTAGCTATCGCTATGTCAGCAACGTGAACTTTGAGCATCGATGGGTTCCACCATTGCCAAAGGCCAGTATGATAATGGCCGAAACTGATAAGCCTATAGCGGCTTAACAGAATATATAGCATAAGTTGGCCATTCAGCGGCCTTGTACGCATGGCGTACATTATAGGAGGGATGGTACATGCCACCGATGGCGTTGCAAACAGAACGCATTTGGAAACACCCGCCACTACTGACATCGCACCGTAGACAAGCTAAGAAACGAGATACAATAATCTGCTGATTACTAAATGATGAATGTGAATGTACGAATGAATGAATATGACATAATGAGTTGGGGTGATTGAGGATGACTGGGAATGATGTGAGGAGAGGATTATCCACGCTACCGATCGGAGGCGAGGTGAGTGATGGCATGTCTACGCCGTCGAAGGCACCTGGCTTATATTGGCTGCGGGAGCTGCGTGTGTATGCAACCGCGGTTAATCTGGATTGTTGATCCTGGACCGCAGTTGACTATACCTAACTGCCTGAAACATCAAACCTCATTGGCTTCGTTGTTTCGCAAGGAAGTAGTAAACTGTTCCACTGTTACGCCTCCTTCGGATAAGCCATCGTTGGTGTGCTACTGAAGTCAAACCTGAACCGCTATTGTGGCTGAAATACTGAACATAATTGACCGAGTAGATTATAAGAGTTACATTGCGGTGTTTGATGTGCGACTACGAGGTGGCCATATGTGGACATCAAATACTGTTGTCTAGGAAGATAGAGAACTTTTACAGAGAGAAGTTCTCTATATTACTCACCGTGAAGGACAATAGTGCGTTCGTTCCACACCTCAGACACATGCGGTCCGGAGTTTTGCGAATATCTCAGCATTATAGATGTTTTTAATAGCTTCGACTTTTTTCTGACTTATTTTTGTAACTTATATTCATGAAAGCTTTTATTCTTCATAGTTACGAAATTGGTCTTCGAGTTTTCCAATCTCATCTAATCCTTTCATTCACCAAGTAAGAGAATGTCGGCTAGAGAGGAGGAGCTGGAGAGGCTACTTAACAAAATCACCAGTAGTTCCAGTTTTAAGCTGTCTAGAAATCAGCGATATGAACAAATCTGTTATTGGAAACGAGCGAATTAAATAAGCTTTTTCTTGTTTCCAATAATATTCTCGAAGAAGACTTCGAAACTGCGGGTAGATGAGATGTCTATGCTTTTGATATCCCTGTTGTTCGCTGATTTCTTTCTGTGTTATTTGAAGGCACTCTTACAGGTCTTATCCTGTGACGTTTAGTTCCTGGTTTTTAACTCTTAGGTTGGTTGTAAACGGCAATTACCTTCACCCGTCTTTTGATGTAATTCAGAACCTCATTATTTTGTAAGAAATTAAACGACGCTAGATATACCTTTGTTTTACTCATTAAACGATGGGTTACCTGGAAGTGAAGGTTATATCAGTATGAGTGCCATAGAAATAGGGCAGCGGCTCAGCATGGTCTTCGTTGTTCACATCTTCTTCGACATATACTTTTAAGCTATTTTCGCTAGTTTTACTGCGCACGTAGTCTCAGCTGGTTACCAATATTAGTTTCGTTGTATAGAAAAAATTCGTATGCAGTTATGGTTATGCTCGAAATTGTAAGTGGCTGTAGAATCAGCGTCGAACTCGAGCTCCGTAAACGTCTGTATGAGGTTCACTTCTGAAAACGTTAATTGAAATTAGCAAATATTTGTTGTCTGTCAAATTTCTCTCGGACATGTTAATATTGTGTGGACAGAGAAGTGTAGACTTTTACATCTCTAGCGTCTTTATTGCCATTTCGCATTCTTGGCACAACGCAGTGTGGACGATCTTGGCAGGTGAAGTGGGATGGTGAGATGGTCATGATGAGCACCTTGCATGTCCTCCTCAAAAGTTTCGTTGGATCAACGAATGTTCGACAAAATTCAGTCTTGTACTATCACAATATCTCTCAATCACCGTGAAGAAAACTACCAATTTTATGGACAGCGAACAACCTACAAATGGGACAGAAGTTGTGGGTTGTTTCTATGTTGTATTATACTGACGAGTTCTTTATTTCTACCAACGAGATGGATTGTAAAACTTGGAAAGGTGGAATTGTTTAAACAACGTGGAAAGAAAGAATAGAGCTCTCGGCTTTGATGAATCTCTGAGGGATGCGCCATGCATTCGACTTCGTTAAGTATCGTTGGAGGTGATTGAATTGGTCTATACATTGACTCGCGGAGGCCTACCGATGTATCGAGCCAGTGCTGCTATCTTCCTAGACAAGTCGGGCACCAATTTCTCGACGTCGTTGGGATGGAGGGCCTGGTGAACCTGGGAAGCAGGGATCGATCCCATTGTATTTCAGGGCGCCTGTGACCATTGCACTACACGTGCCCATTAATTAAGGGTTACTGTAAAACAGTGTGGATGAAAAAATCATAAATAGGCTTCTGTGATACCACTATACTGATACCGACATATGGTTTTCGCTAGTTTTCTGTCGCTTCGCTTTGTGGCTTTTTGAATCTCTTGTAGCTTTTTCTTTGCTGGCATAAAAAGACGAGCGTGTGTACGATACCTACATAAATTTTATATTTTCTCATTAAGGTGTAGGATGCCTAAGTAATTAATGAATTTAGCACTAATCCAAAAGAATAATGTGTGTATTGTTAAGAGTTCACGACCACTACGAACGGCTAAGAGAGAAAGAGGCTGAAGCAAATCGCATGCAAAATCCGTTGACGCCTGGTGGGACACGTCGTGAACCTCAGCGCACATACACTTCTCCTAGTTATAAAGGCACTTCCCAAGTTAGTAAACCTAGAACTTTTCACTGCGTATTCATTCTTGTTTAGCTGAAAAGTTAACGTTCTCACGCGTTTTACTGATGACTTCAAACTAATTTTGGAACGAGATATTTGTGAGATTTTGGTTTTTTAGTGATACAGGCATGCCATATTATTTCGTGTGTTTTCCATGTGAGTTTATTGGTGCAAGTTGTTTAATTGTTAATGGCAGTACTTTAGATGGGAACTGTGGCGAGTGTTTTGCAAGTGTTTGCTATAGTGTTCATTGTTACATTCCTCACTGTGAACTCGAAATTACACCGATTGGGAACGTTTACTTTTGATACCTATCCTGCTCAGTTCTTCGTTATCCACTCGTTTGTTGGATAAAGTCATAGTCGAATTGCTATAGTTTATGTCTTATACGCAAGAGTATGTGATGAGAATTAAATGATGGCGACAAGATCCATTGTGCAACGAATGCTTATCGATCGGAAAAGTGCTATTTTATCACTTCTAATCTAATCCACATTAGTTACACAATGGGAATGTAGTTGCTTTTTTTCGCTAATGAAGTACGGTATTGGTGTTCGAGCGGTGCTATCCCGCATTCTCTTTCAGTTGTCAGCTCCACCATCACCTTTTTTCGATCTGCCTCTGATCGTTGCGAATTCCCGATTCTATTGTAGCCTCAGGGCTAGGTATGGTTATCTGATACTGAGTTTATTTTTTCCCTCACTTCTATCCTCTTTTACGTACACACCCCTTTATTATATTCTTCACGTCTATCCTATTTCCTTTGTAAACGCATGCAGTCCCGTCAATTCATAGAGTTATTTGAGCAGAAAAATCTTCGCAGCGAAGCCAATCTATCCAGACATAAGATTGGATGTAGAACACTTGTATTATGGCCGCTCAAAAGATTTTTTATGCGACTGAGATTTGAAAAATCATAGAAAATCAGCTTCAAGCTTATGGTGTCAAATAGGCGTACGCTAATCCTAAAAGCCTGTCGTTCAAGTGTCAAAATACCGTCTGTGTAGTATTTCCGTCGCTTTAAACCACTTCGCTTGACTTCGTTTAGCTCTATAGCATAATTTGCATGCCTTCCAGGCCGGAATCTCAGCAAGCGCCCCTGATTACGAATCCTACGACCTCATCGACCGATACAACATGCATCGTTACCCAGCAGAATCAGACTCAAAGACTGGCAGTGCCGGAATCGCATCCTATCATCGTTACGCCCATCCTCAACCGCCGCCCTATCAGTATACGATTCCCAGGTATAGTTTCTGCTGAATTTTATCTTCACAGTTCTAGACAGAACCTCAACTGAGCATTGCTGTATTGTTATTATGAAAATCGGAGAATCTTTTCTCAGGTTTATCTCTGATTCTATTCACTTTCGGTGGTTTTTATTTCCAAGATGTTTGCAGTTTTGTTCATCAATTCACCTATGTTACTACGGCTACCAATCTACGATTCCAATTGTGTTTACACTATTAGGATTTGATTTCAGCTCAGGAACCTTCCATGGTAACCCCATCCCTATTGGATGCCCACCATATAAAGCATTTGTCGAGTATGGACCAGAATACCGACCTCAACGATCGCCATCTGGCCACGTGCCCGACTACTATCGCATGTTCAACTCTTGGTTCGCTTACAGTGGAGAAGGAGTCGGAGGAGCGCCAATCATCAAAGTAAGCAGTTTTGGGAGGAATCAGAAATTTGACCTAGAATCAGAAAAGGTGGATGGATATATGAAAGAAAAAAAACATCAAGAACGTAGTCGTTCAGTCGCCATTTTACAGTTCTCAAACAGACGGCGTAACTGGACCACATTCTTCCAAAAGGAAACTGTAGTTGACCCCACATTATTTTCCTAAGTGAGCATTTTTTGGAACTATCTGGTTCCAACTCCGTTTCAGGCAGGCTACACGAGTCCAGTTCGTCACGCAGTTGGAGTACCCTCCAACGTTAGCCCAAGGGTCCGCAATGCCCACTACAGCAAACCACGACGTGGACCCGTTGACCCGACCTATTTCCACGACCGCTACAACGAGTACTAAGTACGACTTTGATCATGTTTAAAAAAAAAGAAAGGCGAAACGAAGGGTCTGCATGGTGTGGTGGTGAACACGTTAGCCCTCTGTCAGGGTAATAGCGGGTTCGATCCCCACTGCAGACACATGCGGTCCGGGGTCTTGTAGATGTCTCAGCATAATTGTGGTTGAATTTCATATAACATCCAGCTGTGAAAAATTGTAGTAGGCAACAGATAAAAAACGTAACATTTAAAAAGATTTGGAGTCTTTTGGTACGAGGACGAAGTTTTTTCGTGTGATGCACGCTGGCCGAAACAACACAAAGTCAGTGTTGCACCGTGGTAATAACAGTGCTACCACGAGTAGGCTTTGGATTTTAATGAATTCTAAAGGCACTTTTGCTCTTGTAGATAATCTGCATTGTATTACTAATATTGAAAGCGATCCATTCATGTAAACTAAGTGAGCCGAAAGAATCACTGATGTGTTTATTTTCCTAGGTTTATTGTATACCTCTAGGCATCATGTTTAGGCAGGAGTCTAACTGCCATTCGGCTGCTCGCCTTTCGTTAAAAGCGAGAAAGAAACTGCGTCGTATTGTCCAATCTGAAGTGATATGCAAACACGATATCGTTACTCCGTTGCCTTCTCTACTTGAGAACTGCATCACTGGAAAACCCTCATCATCAGAACATCTGTTATCAAGAAGTTCACATCCTCCTAATATTCATATCCAGCGAATCCCGCTGTCATATCATCAATTAAACGTTCCTGGTTCCCTCCAGATTTCTTCACCATGTAACCACTATGAACTGCAAATACTACATACTAATAGTCGTGTCGTCACCGCCATTGACGATCCAGGAGAGTTGGAACTCGATAACGGTTTCGATTATTGTCGTGTGTGGAATCACTGGAATCGTCGTAATGGTAGCAGTTTACCATCGAGAAGATCACGACATCGTCCTGTACTTCTAAATCGAAGAATTTATGACGGTGTTACCGACTGCTGACGAAATAGCTATCTCAAGTTTTACTCATCTTACTTGGTAGTCTCGTTAAAACATTTACTGACCAGCTTTATTGCCTTGTTTGCCAATTAATGAGCTTGTGACGATATAACTGTGATGCTGTACTGAGGTTGTGTACTGCGCATGGTAATTTGTATTCGATCCTCCAACTTTACGTGCAATTAATTCTCACTCTGTAATTTTGTATTTTCTTATGTTTTACCTAATATCCCTTGCCTTAGCGTTTGATGAACGCCACTAATGCTCTGTGCCATGTTATATACTTTCTGTGAGAAGAGCACCAGCCAGCTACTATCATGTACACTAATATCAGAGGTTGTTCTATTGTAAAGCAAGCGGTGTGTCCTCATAATCACAGAAGTTTACTAGTTCAGTTGCATCTTAATGATGCAATACGATTTCTCTTATGTTATCTATTTGTTATTGTTACCAGGTAAAACTGCGACAATGAACATTGTTCAACTGAAGCTTGTAGTTGCAACGGTAATCACATAAGGTATGATAAAAAAGCTGGGATCCTTGATAATACACTAAAGAAATGTGGAGAGATGCGCTAGGAACTACAAAATTCGTCATACCAGTTGTACACTGATGGTATCCATATCATGCAAATACTTCGAAACAACTTCCGCATAGTCGAGTGGTTCCTCGGATTGCTCTATAAATATTTGCAGACTCTGAAAAATGATCTGAACATTTCACGTAAACTTGTACACAAAATAAGAATTGTCTAAGAAGTAACCGACGGAAGATATGATCGGAATACCTTGGATTCGTCTGGAAATAAGAGCTTCTTGATGCTTGATGCGCAGCGGCCGATTGTCCACTTCTGAAACACCGTAGGTTTTGTGCTATGTCTACTTTGCGTTAGTTTATATAGTTTGAAAAGGATATATTTTGCTAACTTGGAAAGGTACTAGAAAATTAACGCCTAATGACCTTAACGGTAAAAAATGAGGCTTCCGGCATTGATCAGTCCTTGAGTGATGCTCTATGCATTCGATTTCATCAAACCCATTAGTAGTCGAATGCATATCTCGCTTATAAAAATGACTTGCGGTGGCCTACCACCTTAGCAGTCTGGTGTTTCTATCTTACTGGAGAAGTCTGCTACTAATCTGCCGACACCGGAAGAACCAGCGACCGTTCCAGTATGTATTGTGGAACACCTCTACCCACTGCCTTACACGCCCGACTTTGGATGAAGACATCAGTTATTGGGATACGTATCAGAGCTGTTCGTCTCATATTTGTAGCAGTTTCAAATTTGATTGGTTACCATCAACTTGTACTACGAAAACTGCATATAACACTAGTGGGGTTGCTACACTGACAACACCGATGTTACCAACAGTACGCCGTCTATTTGCATAATGTAATGATTTGAATGTTATACCACAAAAATTTCCTTAATAGTCAAAAGTATGAGAAATACCCAGCTCCAAACCAATCTTTATTCATCCACAGAGAAATTTGTAAATGACTGTGTTACCACAACTAACCAGTTTTTTTTTGAAGCAAATAAAAAACCTCTGTCTACAGCCTGTTAATTATCTAACAAAGTGAGTCGCCGATACAACAGAGTAAGTGCTTCTGTATATTGCAATTGTGTTTGCTGTAATACTTGAGTTTAAACCGGAAGAATCGTGACATTTGATCACACACCTGACTCGCAAGGACCACTTGTCGTTCTCTCGTATCATCTCCTTCAATGAACAGGAAAATTTTCTCTTCCGTAGGGATTTCGGCAGTGATCTTCGCATTCATTTTCAATTTCATAACCAGAATTCGGTCCATTTTCTTTCGTTCGATTTCATTTAAAGGCTGGAAAACCGTGTGTAAACGATGGAATTTTATAAGACATACAGGACTTCATTCCATACTAGGAACCACCTTTACTTTAGATTGTGCAGACTTTTGAATCACAGATGAAGACGCTGTGGTAGAGTCTGAAACTTGGCACGGCTTCGACGACTTGCGGAAAGTATCACAAGAGTGTTCCTCAGCATAACGATGCATGAAGTAACAACATTAGAACCTTGGAAACATCAAATGGAAAGAAACCAGAACTAAATGTGTGAAAATACATCAAATATCTAGTAAGTAGCAAACATAACCATATCTTATCCATTAAGCAATGCAAATAGACTAATTACCGCCTATCGAAGTTGGGAGGTGTTCCTGGGTGTCGGAATGAGATGAGGAATCATGCTCCTAGCAGGGTCTTCCATGCTGTGAAGGAATCCGGCGTTTCCATCAGGAAGCCTAGCTAAGAACAAACCAACACCAGGATCGACCATTGTCCTGGTACCAAATTAGCCGCATCGTAGCAAATCTTATGATCTAGAAGAGTGGCGAAAGCCTATGGTGGTGACGACCTGAGGCAGACTTTGGCTAGGCTGACCTCGGAACTCCAAAGAACCACAATGCCTAGACCAGCTAGACTCCGAAAAAATGGAATTTATGCTGGACCCTGCACTAGCGAGGACGGGCCATCCAAGTATCTAACTAAATAGACTATTGCCTTATGCATATGTAAAAAAGATATTAATAACTCGATTTATCTATGTGTAGAAGAATGCTCACTTGAGACAATAATTCTTCTCGCAATGTGGACAAGCTATTCTAATGTTTTCCACTTCCGAACAGCCATTAAGAGAGCACATGAAAACTAGTACTGGCTTCGATGAAGTGACGTGTGATCCATGGTCGAACTGTTTCGAATTGTCACAGCCATGAATAAAACGATGATCAGAACTGTAACAAGCCTACCTAACAGACGATTAAAACGTTGAGCACGTCTTGTTATGCCGCCAAAAACTTAGGTTTTACAACGGGACGCAATAAATAAGATTAACAAACCAAAAATAACATTTGCATAGTGGACAAACGAAGGGAAGGAAATCTGAAAACAGAAGATCGTTTGTGGGCGGTCCTAATGATATAGGATTTCACTACCTGCTTAAAATACAGATAAACTAGAAGACACACTCACCCAACCTATTACAACTCTTCAACTCGCACCTTCCTCCGACATCGGGCAGCTCGGCCATAGATGGTGTAACAACTGATGAAGTGAATATTCCCAAAAGAAATCCCTATGGTCAATAAGCGTTCAAGTTTTCCTTAATCTCAATATGCACTTCACCACCAGAGAAGCCATAACGATTAGTAAAGAATAGACGGTTCCTCCCGTATGCTAGCCATATCAAGACTGCAGTTTTCACGAATTAGTCTCTCATTTATTATAAAAGGAAAGGAACAACATGCTACATACAATTCTCATAACTCATAACCTTTCCTAAACAACAATTTATTTGCCACTTCCCAACTTTGGAGAGAAAAGGATTGAGCTTCTACGACAGTGTTTAGAACAACTCGTCATCAGCATATCGAGCATATCCCACTAACAAAAAACGACAAACTAGACTATTCTAAAAAGCGGTAGTGATTCGTTTTCTTTTCAAAGGTACAAAAAGTATGAACATGCGTTAGTATCCATTTTATGAAGATATGACTGCAATTTACAACACAGAATACAAAATGACTACTTACAATTTTCTAAAAGTACTAGAAGAAGGATCTTCAAAGTTCGAAATTGCCTAGGCGAAAATCTTGCTGCAGGAATTTGCAGGTTAGGAAAACAAATACAACGCATCAAAAGTGAACTGCTTGGACTATGAATCATAATCAGGTTATAACCCTTACGACATCTGCCCTATAGCTCTACGCATCTCATCAGTTTCCTCTAAAGTTGCCCCCGTATCAGGCACAGCATTCTTAGGTGTGATCTGTTTCCACTCCTTAATGCCATGCACTATGATGTCATCGATGTCCATTGTATCTAGCCATGCCAACTAAACAGTTAAAGATCACAGAATAACAGTGAATAGCACATCCCGACAGGATTCTATCAACTCGAAATCGTCAATACATTTGCCTTACAGTAAACACACTATGACTAGAGGACTACTAAGAAGGAAGAATAATCCGATATTCACATTTAAAACTATTTAATAACAAACCGTTGATCGGATGTACACTACAGCACTCAAAACGTGGACGGGATCGAACGTTCGACTCAAGTAAAGACACCGCCAGAGGGCGGCTGCCAAAAGACGGTCGTTTGCTAGGAAACCCTAAAGCGTACCATTAGTTCATTCTCTAAAGCGCTTTCCACTTAACAATCGAAGTATAAGCAATTTAACCACTTTTTTATTCAACGTCTATACTTTTTCATCGCAGGGTATGCTGTGAAACATTACCACAGTGATACTGAGATATTTATAAAACTCCGCACCGCAGGTGTCTGAGGTGAGGATTGAACACATTAATACTTGAGGAGCCACTGCTGAGAGAAAGGCGAAACGAAGGACCCGCATGGTGTGGTAAGTGAACATGTTAGCGCCCTGAAAGGCAAACAGCGAGTTCGATCTCCACCACAGACACCTGCGGTCCGGAGTTTTGTAAATATCTCAGCACCACTGTAGTTCTAAGCAATTTGTTTGCGAACAAAACCTCTTCCCTCCCTTGTTTAAAGGGATATGTCTCAGAAAGCATTCATTCTTATTACCAATTATTACATTAGACATCTTCACAATCGTTCTTAAAACTACTACTCTAAACTATTTCCTACAAATTTTCAAAGATTGAAAAGCTCTGGCAAACGACTATACTGCAGTCAATAGTACCAACTTCATATAAGAACAAACTGACATAGATTAATCAGAACGATAGCTTAGTCCGAAAATCTTATAATAGGCAGAAACAATTACTTCATCATATTCCAGGAAAGTCTGTAAATGAAGGCCATGCATATGTAGGATATCCGACTTCGTGTTGAGAGTTTGTTTCAATTCAGTCTAAAGAGTACAATAAAGTTTTTCTTTTCAACAAATATCTGAACATAAAGTCATTACTACTAGTATAGAACTGGCATACCCCAACAATTTTAAGTCTAGCGTCCACGTCGAACCATAACGTTGACAACATACTTCGTTTTAACCGCAGATAAGCATGACCATCCAAAGAAATATGCATCCTCATTAGAACCATCCTGATAAGAATGGAGTAAATAGCGGCTGAACAAAGAATGGGGGCTGCATTTGCTCGAACAGCTCAGAATGCCCTGCAGTTTTCGTACAAGATCCTCCCCCTCCGTTTTTCGTAAGAAGCCACGGATGCTCACCAGACTTTGGCGAAGCAAAGATTCGCTCTTCTTTAGACTTTCTTAGACTTCCCAATGGAAATACCTTACTTCTTGTTGGGTTGGGTGAATCTGTTAGGTACAAAAAATCTAAGTAGTATATCGCAGTTCAACACAAAAACACACTCGAGCTACGAAAAGCTACCATTGCAGAAATTCAAAAAAAAGCGTTAGACAATTATGAGAGTAAAGCTCTCTAACTGCGAAGGAAAACTCATTGGTTGCACCTCAAGAACATCATAATTCTTCGATATGAGATTTCTTTTAGATTATGAAAAAATAACTCAAGGTTAAATTTTCTGACGGTGGCACAGTGGTAATAACTCCAACAATCCAATCTACCGAGACGGTAGTTAGGTGCCGTACTCGACCCACTAAACCTCACAGCCCTCTGGGGTCGTGGAATTGGTACCAGAGTTGTCTGGTACAAGCTGACTCCCTCTAATCTACGTAGGGACGCCCTTGTTTCACTATGTCGAATTTCTAGGAAGGATCGACCAGATGGGCATTCAACGAGACATTCGTGATAACGAAGAAAAAAATCCTCAAGTACCAGTTGAAGCCACGTGGAAAAAAAATTCAAGGACCTCTGTGGATAGTGGATCGGTGAAAACGAATCGCATGCAAGAATTGTTGGGATCCTCATACTGTGATCCATGTTATATGCGGTCATGTAACAATAGTAAAAAATTGCTCTGAAAAGAAATAACAAGCCGTAGTTCCTATATTTTCTAAGCATCATTCTGTGAAGATGGAAAGGTAGATACCATATAAAGGATTTGAAATGAACTAATTAGGATATAAACCTAGAAGTTCAGTGCAAACAAATGACAACTGAAAAGGCTAAAAAGAAGAAAACACTACGAACCAACAATGCAACAGGGTCAGCTTATACCATGACGACATATAATCAGGCAAGCCAAAAGCTGAAAGAAACTAGATCGATCTTTATATAATTAGCTGAAGAAATCCGTCAGAAAATCGATACCTTCACACAGTTTCTCATAGTCATATTTGTTAGCACAGTCGTAATAAAGCTGAGCTGATGCAGAGTCAAGCAACTGGAAGATCCATTTCAGGAAATAAAGCAACCACAAAACATTGACCACGTAACGTTAAAAAGAAGAGCTCGAAAAAAAAAACAGAAAAGAGGACTATATAGATGTTTGTATTTCTGTTCTCGTATTTATGAAGAATCTACCTAGTCTCAAAGGACGTATATTGGGAAGTGGTCGGAGGCGCCCTGCAACACACTTGAGATCTACCCCCTTGCTCCTGGCCCAACAAGCTTTCCAGTCCTCCGGGGTCAGCAAATTGGTACTAGCCTTGTCTGGGAGGACAGCAGCACTGGCTCGACAAGTTGGCCATTGGCCACCGCGAATCATTGCAAGGGCCAGATATGCATTAACTCACCTCTGAACGATGCTTAATGAAGTCGAATGAATGGCGCACCCCTCAGGGATTGAGCAACGCCGACAGCTTTGTCCTTTATCCTTTACCTAGACTCATACAAATAAAGATGAAACCCACTGATTTCAGTCTTGGATCCATTCCATCCTTGGTCCATTTACTTTTCACCAATGCTTTAGCATATACAATAAAACTCGGTAAGCGCGATGGAGGACGAGATACTAGTTTTTGCGTAATGTCGTCGATAGAAGTTACCTAAAATGATGATTGGAGAACTATTCAACATTTTTGCCATAAAAGAACAGGTTATTGAGGGCTCTCGGTTTCATCAGTGGTATTCCGATGGGTCGGAATATACGACAAATCTTGTATTCACGAACAAACAAAAGAATTGCTGCCATTTACAATTTCACGATTGACCAGACCAAATACTCCACAATCAATGGTACTGAGATATTTGCAAAACTCCGGACCGCAGGTGTCTGCGGTGGGGAACGAACGCGCTATTACCCTTTCCGGGGGATAACGCGTTTACCACCGAAAAACGGTATGGTCGTTCGTGTCGGCTTTCTTTCAACTAGTTCTTTATCTACAAGTGCCATCAGCGATCACCCATCAATGAGATTGATCTGGGGAGCTCAAATCGGCAATGAACCCAGTTAACCGGAGTTTTGCAAATATCTCAGCACCGCTATGGTTGTGTCTTACACAACACCTTGTCGTAAAAGACTTGTAGTAGGCAGTAAATAAAAAGTTAACATTCCGCACCCAGCTGATTCGTGCAAGTTAAGATCGGAACAGTTGGGAGGAACAGGAAATAATACCTTTCGGTCTCTTGGCGGATCCACAGATGTTGACGCGATGTTCCTAACGTGAACGGGATGGCGAAGAGCGAACCGAGCCAGCATACCGAAAAATAGACTAAGCCAATGGAATATCGATAAAAATGAAAGGCAGAAAAGAATAAACACAGACTTTAAGAGGAAGAATGGCAATAAAATAAACAATGAAACCATTCTCTAAATACAATTCAAAATGGGGTTCCTAGAGCAAAAAAATCATTTAGGCGCCATGTTAGTAACAAGTTGTGCATCCACGGACTTCTGTCCACTTGGAACACTAATGATATTCTGGATAAGTCATGATAAAGCTTAGAGAAGTCGAATTTTTCCTTCCGAACGGCTAACGCATTGTTGGAATTCCACTTTTTTTGTGAAGGGAGTGGAAAAGGTCCCGAAATATGGGTCCCGTAAACGCCGAGTCCATCCCTGTCGATACGAAGAACTTATGAAATATGGAGCGCTTCTTAGTTGAAGCTTTCATATTAGCCCCATGACCTGAAAAGCCACGATTGTGGTTAATGACGTACCCTTATTGTTTTCTACGGATTTCAAGCATTAAAGCATCTTCATGTTGTATAAATGTGGCTTCATTAAACGCTTCGGTTCTTCATCAGTGTCCATTCCCCAATACAACGTCGTCGATTCTTGCAGCGAATCTCTTCAAATATTAAAGAAAGACAACCACAATGTTGCTGAGATATTTGCAAAACTCTGGACCCCAGGTGTCTATGGTGGGGAACGAACGCGCTATTATCCTTTCCGGGGAGTAACGCGTTCACCACCACACCATGCGGGTCCTTTGTTTCGCACGTCTCTCAGCTATTTCTATCGATCTTTTTGCCACAGCAATCACCCGTCAGCGGGGTTGATCTGGGGAGCGCAAATCGGCATAGAACCCAGTTAAGCTATGGCTGTAGTTGAAATCACAATGTTTTAACGTTTTGTTTTCTGCCTTCTATAATTTTCATGGCAGGTTACTAAGCGAAATACAACCACAATGTTGCTGAGATATTTGCAAAACTCTGGACCGCAGGTGTCTA